ACTATAGTATCATTTTAACTTTGAAAAATAACTACTTATATGGAATAGGATCTTTGGTGGTGTAGTTCAACTATTTTGGAGCTGTAAAATTAAGGTGTTTTCCCAGCAGGGAAGTAATTTGTGAGTGCTCTACTTTGTTACAATTATTATTACATAGACTTCATGTATAACAATATTTAGCATTTTTCTAGCTTCAAGTGTAGTGTGTATATGTATGTACTGCATGTGTGTGTAATATATATATATATATATATATATATATATATATATATATATATATATATATTTCCTGGCTAGTCATGGCAGCATATACACATGGGTTAGCTCCTCCCCTACAGCCGATAGGATAGGAAAACCACCAAGGTTTTAAAAGGAGGCTCCATCCCTAAGGTCCTCAGTCTTTTTCCTGTCCTACAGCCCTGAGCAATTTGCTCCCTTTACTTACGGACATGTATGTTGTTTTATCTTCATTACTTTATTTGCCTGTTTTACTGTAGTACATTATGCAATTGTGCTTTTATGCTGTGATGCATTTAAGCTTTGATATCTTTAAACTAGTGCATTGTACAGCTGTACCTTATTTTTAGGATTGTGGTACATTATGCGATTGTGCTTTTGCTAGGAAGCATTTAAGCTGTGTGGCATTTAAAACTGTTTCATTTAAATTTGCATTTAATACTGTTGCATGTAATACCGCAAGTCATTGGAAACCGCAGTACATTTGGAAAACTGCAGTCCATTGGGAAACTGCAGTGCATTTGAAGACTGATCTATTTTTAAAACTGTTACATTTTGGAAACTGTTAGATTTGAAAACTGTGTTACCTTTTATACCTTGAGGCCTTTAGACTGTGGTGCCTTTAAACTTTGACTTTTTGCACGTGGTTGCCTTTTAAACTTCCTTGCAGGCACTTTTGTTATCTATTTTACTTCCCCCTTGGTCCCAGTGATTTATTCCCGGTTCCCTGGGTGTTTAGGGGCCATGTAGGCTTCAGACAGAGTCCTCAACCTGGTCTCTAACAGCAAACACACTTGGAATAGGCCCACATGTGTGCAGTTTGTGCCTTAATTAGCCCAATACAGATGACTTGCATTGTGGGAATACAAGTTGTGGCAGCCATCTTGGATAAGGGCAATTGCCAGAAAGTGCCTAAAATAAAGAGAAAATTACAGTAACCATATACTTATGGGGTAAGTATTTGTAGGGTCTCCAGACATAGATAAGTGCTGTCTTCAGCCTGTTTTAAAGCTGTTTTACTGGTTTCTTATAGAATTTAACAGTGCACATTTTTTCTTAATACTTTACCACAGGTAATATTTAGTTATTATTATTTGTCAGATGTCTGATTCTTCACCAGGATCTGGTTATGAGGAGAAAACAGTGAAATAAATCAGTTATGCACTGACTGCCTCCAGAAGGTTGTCGCTTCAACATGACCTATCAATGTGCAGCCACATGACATGTGGGCAGGGCTTACAAAGTAAGTTCCAGAGGCCTTAGGGGTAAGAAAAGAGGCCAGGCTTTACCCTGTAGAGGAAGTTATTTCCAACCCCCGAACTACACCACCTAAGTTGCAAACTTATGGATCATAGGTGGACGCAGACCTGTCCAAAATTTTACGCCTACCATTGCAGGAGGCCAGCCAGCTGTGATTTCCGCTGCTGTTTCTACAAACATGAAATATGTGATTAAAGATCTAAAGGCTACTATGAAGAGAGATATTAAAAGCCAAGATTGAAGAGGCAGTCTGAAGTCTTCAGGTTACAACTGACTTCTTCACAGAAACTATTCTAGATGTAACTAGGATATTCTCTGGATCAAATGGCTTTATCTATAGCAGCTAAGAAAGCTTTATGGTTCTGTTTCTGGGATGATGACTCATCCTCCAAGTCTGCCCTCTACACCATTCTATTTGAAGGGGTGGTGCTGTTTGGGAAAACTTTGGATAATTCCATTGAAAAGGCGAATGAGGGCTGCAAGATATTGGTACCTTAGGATGGAAGTTCCAAGGATCCCAGCTCCTCATTGTCTGACCGGAGAACCTCCAGTGACCAGTATTTCTGAGATACATGGAGCTACTGGCCCTGCAGGGAATACTCCAGAGGTAACTCATGGCAGTTGGTAAACCTGCCTTTCAAGGTTCTAATGGAGCTATAACGCAGTCGTTTTGCTCTTCAGCAATGAACATATCTCCTCCAGTACTAGGAGCCTCATTTTTCTGATCACACATACCTGGGCTCGTCATACTCTGGAGGCTTGAGTGGTATCCATGGTCCAGATTGATATAGACTAGAGTTTTTTTCTTAACGGGGACAGGAGTCTCCATACCAACAGGAGTATTAAGACCAATGAATCAAAAGGTAAAGCACTGAAGGAAGAAGCCTTCTGGACGAAGAGGTGATTTTTTTTTTTTAGGTCCCAGAACAAGAGCAGTTCCAGGGACAAGTTTCGCCTCCTCTTCGGGTGCCAAGAGGAAAAACACATGAACGCTTACACTGGACCTAAGAGGGGCCAACATGAGGCTGAATGTTAGTCTTCGGGATGGAGTAAATCAGATCCATATCTCAAGCAATCTGAAAGGATAATTTCCTTACCTCTATATATCTCAAGGATGCCTACTTTCAGTCCAATCTGCAGAGAACTTCGGCATTATCTCAGAAGAGAACTTCCATGTTAGTGCCCTACCATTTGGCCTCAATGCGGCCCCAAGAATCTTCGTATGTGCTTATAGTGTTATTGAAAGTCCAGAACTCCACCTGGCTCCATTATCTGAAGGATCTACTTCTATTAGCCTTAGACCCTCAGAAGGCAGGCACACATAGGTATATAGTTCTTTCATAACTCCTAAAGTTTGGCTGCTTGATGAATATCAAGAAAAGCAGTTTCAGACCAGCTCAGTGGTTGACATTCCCGAGTGGAAAATTCTAGGCTCTGCTTTTCCCTATCTCGGGAACAGTTCCACAGATTGTGAAGGTTTTCTCTCCCAGTTTCTTCATTTCGGCTTGGTAACAGCAAGAAAATAGATGCAACTACTAGGAATCCTGGCTTCCACCATCAGACTTGTCAGATGGGCCCAATGGCATCTCTGGATTCCTTACAGATCCTTCCTATCTTGGTCTAACAAGAGAGAAATTATTTGAGCCAGCCACTTACTATGTCCCCATCAGTGGAGTTGCACCTTACCCTGGCAGCTGAAAGAGGGATTAGATCTCTGAGTTTCCAGTGAACAGAACCTCATTGGTCAATTATCAGCTCGAATTCCAGTTTTTATAAGATTGGTTGCACAGTGTTTGGACCATGTTGCACAATGTTTCCATTCATTTGTATGAAATTAAGAGTAATTTTCAAGGCTCTTCTTCACTTCAGAGGCTTGATGAAGAACGAGTGGGTTCAAATTTGTTCAAATATCAATGCAACTGTATCCTATATCTACCAAGATGGGTCTCACAGATACGTATTGATGGAATTCCAGCCCATAATGATCAGGGCACAGAAGAACAACCAGTGACTCAGAATACCATGGCTGTTTGCTGGAGCCAAATAACTGTGGACAAGGTGGATTGGCAACCATGTCCTGACGTATCCTCGTGGTTGACGCAGATTGTCTGATACCCTACATAGATCTGATGGCCATTTCTTGGAACTACCAGGTCCAGAAGTATTTTTTACATGCTAGGACCAGAATGCTCAGGTTCAGGATACACTGGCTCATCGACCTTCTTCAAAAGGCAATGCAAAAGGTGACAGTGTAAGACCGTGTCGACTCTAATTCCTATGATGAATAAGATGATTCTGGAACTTCCAAGGGAAATTCCTGTATGTCCAGACCTATTACAAGGCCCCATGACACACCAGGATCCTCAAGTTCTGGTGTTGATGTGGGAGTCCATATAGGCATCCCTGAGACGGTCATTGAGATCCTCTTACAATCCTATACATGCTTTACTAAGCTTGACATGCTTTTGTCTGTTGGATTTACTCCTCATTCAGACCTTGAAAGGTTCTGTGTTATAACACTCTAGAGGAGCACTTAGCTGCACTTTGCTTCATATAGGCATTGATTGAAATCATGCCTCCACTGAGTGTGGTGAACCCAATATGTGACGTACCATTGGTCACACGAGCCCTGACTGAACCATTATTCGAACCTCTAGAAGGAGCTTCCATGGTGGTATCACAGAAAGTGCTGGTGGCTAGTACCCCAGCAAGGAAAATGGGTGAACTCCAGGCTTGATCCTGTGAACCCCCTTTCACTACTTTTCTACAGATATGGTCATCTTGCATTTGGCACCTGAAGATCCTGCCTATGGTGAATGCTTATCTATGTCATTTTCTACCTGTACTGAAGGGTACCGATTGAGCGTTGATGCCCCTGGTGCTTTGCTTCATGTAAGCAACAACTGAACTCAAGCCTCCGCTGAGGGTGTTGAAACCAATATGTGACGTACGAATGATCTCACAGACTGACTGAACTTCTAGCAGGAGCTTCCATGATGTTAGCCCAGACGTTGCTGTTGCTGGTGACTGGTACCTCAGCAGGGTGAATGTGTGCACTTTGCTGCACTTTGCTTCATATAGGCATTGATTGAAATCATGCCTCCACTTAGTGTGGTGAAGCCAATATGTGACGTACCACTGGTCTCACGGGCCCTGACTGAACCATTATTTGAACCTCTAGAAGGAGCTTCCATGGTGGTAGCACAGAAAGTGCTGGTGGCTGGTACCCCAGCAAGGGAAATGGGTGAACTCCAGGCTTGATCCTGTGTACCCCCATTCACTGAATTTCAACAGGATATGGTTGTCTTGCATGTAGCACCAGTGATCCTGCCTAAAGTGAGAGCCTTTCAATGCCGTTCTCTACCTGTAGCAAAGGATTTGGGGCATTCTCCACTAGTGCTGTTACAGCATCTCGTGGGCTTCCATGGCAATGGTCTCTGCCAGGGGCGGACTGAGAGCCTTTGGGGCCCCCGGGCAAAATTAGATCCCAGGCCCTTTGAAGGCCAAATATATGTGCATTAAATAAATGTTAAATATAACTCATAATACAACATTCCTTTGGATGTGTATATTGTGAAGACCTGTGTATCAATGCATGTTTGTATTTGAGTCTGTGTGAATGCACTTGTGCATGTCGGGATGACTACATGTGCTTTTTTGTATATAGTGTCTGTGTGAATGCATATGTGACAGGTGACAGTGTGTGAGGGAGAAGGTGACAGGTGGAAGAGTGTGGGAGGTTGTGACAGGTGGCAGAGTGAGGGGGTACCTGGTGGCAGAGTGAGGGAGGGAGGGGTTGAGTGGTGGCAGAGTGAGGGGGAGACACAGTGAGTGGGGGTGACTAGTGACATAGGGAGGGAGAGGGGGTGACTAGTGACAGAGTTAGGGAATGGGTGACTAGTGGCAGAGCGAGGGAGGGAAAAGATGACTAGTGGCAGAGTGAGGGAGGGAGGGGGTGACTGGTGACAGAGTGAGGGGATGACTGGTGACAGAGTGAGGGAGTGACTAGTAACAGAGGGAGGGATTGACTAGTGACAGAGGGAGGGAGTGACTAGTGACAGAGGGAGGGAGGGGGTGACTGTCACTAGTCACTCCCTCCCTAACTCTGTCACTGTGTCACCCGCTCCCTCACTCTGTCACTAGTCACCCCCTCCCTCACTTTGTCACTAATCACCCCCTCTGTCCCTAGTCACCCTCTTCCACACTCTGTCACTAGTCACCCCATCCCTCTCTCTGTCACTAGTCACTCCCTCCCTAACTCTGTCACTGTGAAGGAAGGAAGGGGTGACTGGTGATAGAGTGAGGAGATGACTGGTGACAGAGTGAGGGAAGGGATGACTAGTGGCAGAGTGAGGGAAGGAAGGGATGACTGGTGACAGAGTGAGGGAATGACTGGTGACAGAGGGGGTGACTAGTGACCGAGTGAGGGAGGGAGTGGGTGACTAGTGACAGAGTGAGGAAGGGGGTGACACAGTGATAGTCACCCCATTCCTCCCTCTGTCACTAATCACCACCTCGCTCACTCTCACTAGTCACCCCTTCCCTCCCTCACTCTGTCACTAGTCACACCCTCCCTCTCTCTGTCACTAGTCACACCCTTACTCACTGTCACTAGTCACACCCTCCCTCTCTCTGTCACTAGTCACACCCTTACTCACTGTCGCTAGTCACACCCTCCCTCTCTCTGTCACTAGAGTAAGGGGGTGACTAGTGACAGAGTGAGGGGGTGACAGGTGACAGAGTGAGGGAAGGGGTGACTAGTGGCAGAGTGAGGGAAGGGAGGGGTGACTAGTGACAGAGTAAGGGGATGACTGGTGACAGAGTGAGGGAGGGGGTGACACAGTGATGGAGGGAGGTGGTGACTAGTGTCAGAGTGAGGGAGGTGGTGACTGTCACTAGTCACCACCTCCCTCACTCTGTCCCTAGTC